GCACATGAACCATGATTTGTCCATTGAAACTTGAAGAAAAGTCGAGTAAGGATCAATGTTTATCTCTATCTATTTCAATTTGTTCATTTGAACTGGTCTTGGGCTAAATTAAGAGAGAGAGAGATTGTTAGGTTGGTGCGACGAAGGGGATGTTCTGTAGTGTGGATGAAAAATTTGTGGGTATGGATTAGTCCACACAATACCCTGTGGCAGGGATCAATCCACACCATACCACAGTCCATAACTATTTTGAAATATGGACAAACTGTATGGACTGGACCAGTCTACACGCACAGTGGTGTTCTGTTGGTGTGGTGTGAACTAGTCCATACCATACTTTATATCTAATTTTTGCATTTTATATGATAAATATATTGAAAAATGCATCAATGAATTAATATTAACCAATAAATATTAATTTTTTTTTATAAAAACAATAGTAAAATAATTAAAAAAATAAAAAAATATATTTTAAATATATAAAAATATTATTTTATTGATAAAAACATTAAAAACTAAAAAAAAGTAAAATAATTAATATTTTATTGACAAAAATATTAAAATGTGAAACAGACAATAGGGTTGCAGCCTTTTAAGGAGAGTGTGAAGCAAGGGATAAAAAATAGATTGTGGACGGGCCCTAACCACGAGTTTTTGTCGTGGATGAGAAATTGGGGTGTGAACGGGACCGGTCCATGCTCCATAGCCAGCCGAACAGGTGTTCATCCTATGGACGGGACCAAAAGACCGCTGAAGAGAGAAGGAAAGTGGAACCATGGGCAATTTCCTTATGAAAATTGTATTTATTGCTGATATGGACAATTTATGCTAATAAACATTAACGGTGTTCTAATGGTTGGTGAGTTTTGAAAAATAAAAACTTTATTTTTTGAATATTTTAAAAAGTTATAATAAATTTAAGAGAAATACTGAAAATTCCACGGTGAGTTTTAATACAATTTCGGAATGTTTTAAGAATTTTGACCCCACATGGCCGGTCTCTTTCTCAAAAGGTCACATCATTCAGTTGTATTTCTCTTAGGTCAAGGACATTCTCGTAAGAGGACAAATCGAATTCACGGTTATGGTGTAATTTTTTTTCCTAGTCACCTGGCCACCGCGTGGGGCTAGTAGATTTTGCAGACTGAATCATTCAACGGTTATATATAGTACTGAACTATATGTAACTTAAAACATTCATATACCCAACACTATGAATTAATTAAGGAAGTCTAAAAGTACGTTTTAATTGATTAAAAGGAAAAAACAAGAAATATTGGGTTCATCATCCTGATTTTTTAACAGATTAAAAGGGAAAAAAATATACTTTAACACGACAGGAACAATCTGTTGAAAGGGTTTCTTTAATGGATGATATGAGTTCTGTGATCCTTGCAGAATTCGTCGTTCCATTATTGGCTCAAAAATTTTGAAGAACAAACGGTTTTTTTTTCCACTTTACCACGCTCTAACACGATTAGTGCCTTCTTTATATTAACATGAGATTTATTTATCAATTAAGTCGTCTTATTTTGCACAGAAACCAAGTATTTTGATCTCAATTTGTTATTTTTTTCATGAATAAAGAACAGTGGGTTAATGAGAAACTGGGAAACTCCTTTCCTTTTGAGCTCCAAATTAATTTGCCAAATGTAGGATTTCTGGGTTGTTTACAAATTACATGAAGCTAGAGAAGCTCAGTGAAACACTAGACAACTCACCAGCAACATATACTACAAAATAATCGTCAACAGTAGCCTTTTTTTTTTCCCTTTCCGGTCAATATTTAATTAATCATGGACACGTCACAGTGCCCAGCCACGTTAATTCTGTAACAAAAATATCATTATCAGTGGCGTTTGGCTCTATGTCGGATTCACTTTAAATCTTTAATTGAGGAAGTTTCTTTTTAAAAGGTTTTCATAAAACAAGGAAAATCCAAGCAAACTAGAAAAGAAAAGCGCTCTCTCTCTCTCTCTCACACACACACATAAGCAAGAACAAAAGACCAGGAAGAAGATGCACTTGGAATATCGAGACGAAATAAACCATTCTCAAGCTAACACTACAAACATTTCAGGCTAAATATTCAAAACGATTAGACCCATGGATTCCATTACCCATCACTTCAAGCTAAGAGAGCAGTTAGGGTTTGATGCCCCTCTTGATGCGAATACAAATATCCTCTAGCTGTGGTTACATGGTCTCTTATCCAAGTTCCTTTCTGTTTACCTTTTACCCATTTGTTTGTTTCCCTGTTTTCTACTTTTCTTTGTCCAATTTTAATATAGTGGGTAAGTAGACTAGGAGATATATACATATATACATATATTGAGTGTCCTCTTAGACTTGGAAGACATGTTTTGTTTAAATCTCCTTGACTCTTCTCATTGCGCTCTATTCAATAATTATGATTGTTAATATATAATAAAATTGCATGGAATCAGGGGAGGTCTATGTACAGTCTGTGGGGAAATCAGATTTCATAGCTGATTTATTTACTTACTGTTGATCAACTCGTGTTGGTGGGTAAACCCAAACTAGATTTCTATTAATTTCTTCGATCGGTTGCAGACATATAAACACAGAGATTGTAAGCGCCCATGATGTTTGACCATCTAGAGTTACGCAGGCAGGTGGTTGGAATTATGAGTTCATGAAAAATAATATTTTATTGTCACAAAAATTCCATTATTAATTTGATGATGAGAGTTTTGACTTTACTGTCTAGTAACATCACAGACAAATACGGATGTCTTAAATAGTTTGTCGCCTATATCTATGACATTGTATGATGTATACCCACAACTGATGAGAATCTGAGAGTGGGACGGTAAATAAGATAAGTTCAATTAGAGTTTGATTTAAAACTTAAAAGTAAAGCCCAACACTACTGATTCATTAGAAATTAATAACTAAATACATAGATCATAGAAGAGGTAAAGTTGATAGTCCATATATAAAATCCTTTGATCCACTTGTATATTAAAAAGAGCTCATGAGAACCATAAAAACAAAACAATCAACAATCAGTGGGGTTCTGTTGATTCAAGCAGAATAATGAAGATCTAAGAGCCTCCCAATTCCCCCCTTAAAAGAGAGGTCACCAAAGTTGCTTTTTGAGCAGAAGATGAAGGAAGACGTCCACATAATGGATGGTTGATGGATCTGTGAACGCCATTTGAGATGTATGATTTGGATGGGTTATGAACTAATTGGATTAAAAGTAAAAAAGATGATGAGAACATCAGACCAGACTACCAGAAACACAAACAATAGAAGCTACAAAGTACAAATAATGGTCGTGGTGATAGGTGGGTGAGAGTGGGAAATTTTGCGTACTTTGCGGTTGCTCTTGTAATCTTGCTATTATCAAATTCCTACGCATCGGAATCGAGAGCAGTGCATCTCTAATATGTCCAACAAACAAGTCCAACACAAAACAAAACAATCACTCATTACGTCCTTACAATTGCTCTCTCTCTCTCTCTCTTAGTTATAATGTATGGTAGGTAAGATATAACCCAGGAACCTTTTATAGATATAATGTCAATTTCCAACCCTATTATATTATGTTATTTTTATCATACGCTTTCTGTCCAAGCCTCCAATGAGGACTAGGGTTTTCCTTTCCAAGCCAAATTCCAATTCCACAAGACAAGTAAATGGGTCCTACGCGATCATCATCTCAGAAGTCTCTGATCATTGCATGCTTTGGCTGGAATACAGAATGTAATTGGGTTTGTTTGCAGAAAAGAAGAGAGAGAGAGAGAGAGAGAGAGAGAGAGTCTTTTTATCTTTATAGTGGTATATCCCCATATGAAATGGACTGTCTTGTATTGTAGAAAAGCCTTCACCTAGCTACAATTACATTTGATTATTGACAATTGAGTCATCCTCTTCTAACTTTTCCTCTGTCTAGTGTAAACACAAGTTTACTAGAAATGTTTTCCTTGTAGCTATATATATATATATATATATATATATATATATATATATATATATATATATATACATTAAAAAGGATCAGATTGGTATTCTAGCTCATGCATGTCCTAATTAATTATTCCCTTCATCATTAATTATTTTAGTGTCTCAATTGATATTGGAACTTGGAAGGTTTTGAAATGCCCAAAGAGTCAAAGACAGGGGAACCAGCAGCTAGCAAGAGTGAGGAGTGAAGAGTGAAGACCCACCAAAAGGAATATTAATAATGGACGGGAAGCAGTGTGGCACGCAAGGAATCATCAATAGATAGCAGTGGTGGCCTGGTGGGTCACGACTCACGACCCCTCAATTGCTTCACTTGATGCACTTTCCAAATATCCATTTAAACCCATCTCAAAATGGTCCCCAAATTCCTAGCAATCTGTCATCTGTCTGCTGCTGCCTTGTATCACAAGATACCGAGAAAGAAGAAAACAGATCACATACTAGTAGCTAGCCTCCTATAGTAATTCAAGACAAGAGTGAGAGTGTGAGACTGAGACTGAGAGACCTCATCAACACTAACCACAGTAGCTACCTCTGAGCTAGTGACTCTCACTTCCCTTCCAGACTTGCAGTTCCACACGACTGTGGGCTGTGGGGGATCATTATTAGGATCCAACGGTAGTATCGCTACTCCTATCAACTCCCAAGTTTTAACCATTAGCCACGTACGTCACAATAAACAGCGCCGTTGATAATCGTCTTTACCTTTACCATGTTATGTTTACGATTTTGTTAGGTTAGGTGGGTATCCACCTAAAATGTAGGTCCCTAGTCCCTACTACTGCCAAGTGCCAACGTCTCTTACTGGGGTCACTGCGTCTTGTATAGGCTAGCTCATCCTTATTCCTTCCATTAAGTCCATCCCGGGCTGCTAATGCTAAGCATGTTTTCTTGCTCGTAATTACAAACAATTAGTAATGAATAAAAACAACAACAAAAACAACAAACAGTAAATCTGTTTAAACCGAGAAGAGAAAAAATATATATAAAATCTCAATAAAGAAAAGCGAGTATTGGTTCCAGTTCGTGCCTTGGAGCTTTTTTCTTGGCCCCTTCCCTTCTTCTCGCGATACCCACAGAACCCTTTTTATCAGTCCCTCTCTCTCTCTCTCTCTCTCTCTCTCAAGTCAAATCTCTTCAGCGCCACAGGAACCTCTTCAAATACTCAACCTTTCACATTTGCTCTCTCTCATATTCATTCTATTTCTACTCTCTCTAAAAGACTAAATCCCGTCGCTATCCAAAATATGGTAGAGTTCGAGTTCCACCAACCAAATCCCAGCTAAATTATGGAGCAAGAGAAAGAGAAGAAAGCCAGGTTCTGCATCAACGACCACCAAGACATTCTCATCGAGATACTAACACGGCTCGACGACCGCTCTCTCGGAGTCGCTGCCTGTGTCTGCCGTCTCTGGTGCTCTATATGCCGCAACGACTCGCTCTGGGAGAACCTCTGCTTCCGCAACGCGTCTCCTCCTACACCGGACGTAAGGTCAGTGGTGGAGGCTCTTGGTGGTTATAGGCGCCTCTACATGGTATGCCTACGCCCGGTCCTGAATCGGCTCTCCGGATTGAGTCTGGGGCTGGCTGGTCGGGGTGGTGTCTCGGGACGGAATGGGAGGATCTGGACTCAAGACGAGGTGCAACTCTCGCTGTCGCTCTTCTCCATAGATTATTACGAGAGATTGGGTGGGAGGCAGGGTGGTGACGCGTCTGCCTCGTCGCTCATGTTCCTTTGCAAGCCAGTGAACGTGTGATAATGTTTGTTGACTGTGGACACTGTTGCGCGCGCAGGAGGACTATGGGATGAATAATGCCGATCGATGAGGCATATGTTAAGAGAAAGCATTGACCCTTAATTATGAGCCGAATGTAGCCCTCGATAATAACTTCGGTTTTCATATTGTTTATTTCCATTTTCGTTAATTTCCTTTTACCAACCAACCAACCCATCATAAGGCAGGTTAGCATCGTTAGATTATTCTTTTTCTTCTTCTTCTAGGAAGGTGAAGGTCCCTCTGCATGGCTGCATGTGTAATATGATATATGTAATTTATTATTTATTAAGGTGATAAGAGCATTAATTGAGATTAATACCCAAGATCCCTTTAAGCACTGTTTGTAGAAGTTTCCATTGTTTTATTAGATGCTAACATGACATGGGTGACAACAGGATATTTTTATCTGGGTAATAACTACAAGGATTTGAAGATTTGCCACAGAATTTTGAATAAATTTAAAGTGGGAGGAGAGGGGGGGAGGGGACCTCTGAACAAGTTTATCCGAGTACGAAATCGGACTGATACATGGAGCTAGCTGTCTTTGATAGTGAAGGATCCTATTAGCTTCTGAAAGTCTAAGCTTCAGACAAATGGAAAGAAATTAAGAAAATTCTGACACTAATAGGGACAGGGAAATCCTTGTCTCTGATTCCCCAACCCCAAGTTGAAGTTGATCTGTTGATGAGCTCAGTAATATGTTATTTTGCTTGGGTAAAAAGTAGTATGTTATTCAAATAGACTTCTTTTTCCCTAACGTGATAACGTCTAGTTTAATTTTAAATCTAAATTATTATTTAGCATGGAAAAAGGTGTTTTCTGGAAGGATTTTTATTGTATGTAAAGCTCAAAAGATAGAATCAAAGAACTATATGTTATCCGCGGATAAAAATGGGTCATAATTTCCTTTTTCTATCCATCATCTCCCCAGTTTTCATTTGCTTTGAATCCAGCAATATCATGTTATACACTAGGGTGAATGACTGAACGAGAGAGCCGTGACTTGTTGTTAAGCGCATAAACAGGCAAGGAATTGCGGTTTAGTTGTCACAAATTGAGATTGCCTCTGGTTCTGGCAAATGGGGAAAGCATCGCATCCTCATCCATCTGTGACTTGAGTTGTTCACCATGCACCTAGATCGTCCTGTTTTCTACTTCCCTAGGTAATTTGGTCAGCAATCATTCTCACCACTCTCAGTCAATCACAACAAAACCAGGAGAGATACAAACTATTTCTTAGAACGCAGAATTAACTAGATGTGATACGCATGCGGCTCAACATAATATGTTAGCAATGCAGCCAGCAGCTTCATCTTCAATTCTTCCTTCTGGCTCCAAGAAGAAGAGATAGAGCTTTTTTTCTTTTTCTTTTCTTTTTTTTCCCTAAATGCCAAATTCACATTACAGAGGATAGGTTCCAGGGGCCCACGTCTCTTAAACATGGTCCCACTTCCTTGAGATGTCATTCTGTTCCTGGGACCACCACCACGCCCACGCCACGATGAAACAATAAACATGGTCCCACTTGAGATGCATGCCATTTCGATATTTCAAATTCAGCCCAGGAGCCAAAACTGGGAATGGGGTGGTTCCCCCTGGTCCAGTGGACCAGCTTAGCATTGATCGTGAAAGCGTTGTGAAACGTGCAAACAACTGATATATCATCACATCGGATTCTCTCTCCTCTTCGGACTATTTACCAGAAGGAATGGACACCGCAGTCACAGATGCATATCATATGCCCATACACACAAACATTGTCTGGCTCTATTGACATAGATGATACCTATCCTCCTGCGGCTGCACACTGTTAGAAAGCATCATCAATTCGTCATCCTCGATACAAAAAACGCAATATAGACGCTATTGCGCTTCACATGCATTTAGCTTCAAACACCTAAAAGAATATGGCATGTACAAGAATTTAAAACAAAACTGGTAGAAGATACGGATTTAGATCAAATGGAGGATTAATCTCATCTTATTTTTTTTAGTCATAAATAAAACCGCTGTTTATACACTTCTGTTTCTAACATAACAATTTTCTGGGTTGGCCATGAACCATCCATACAGAAGAACGCCCGTCAACATAAAAATCAGTGTTTTAGAATCGTGGTTGATTCAGATGGTCGGATCATATTTGGGAACCATCCAGACAACCAGTTCTGTTTTACCTCAAACTCAGTCCTTGGCTAAAAACTATTGAATTGGTCAACAGTTCACTGACCCAGGTAGTTGAACCGTTAACCCGTTCAATGGTTTTTGGTTATTTTTTATTTTAATTTTTTTTTTAATTAAAATGAATTGTCCATTCAAACTGAACGGTTAAACCATCGACCCAGAAACCAGTGGCTAGAAATGGTTCCGATTCCTACTCGATTTTTAAAACCTTTGTAAAAATTTTACCCCCATCATTGTCTCAAGCCATCCCACCGCTGGTGGCTATGTTAATTATCTGAAACAGAGCGGTAAATTATTAAACCAAAGAAAATAATTCAATATTTTCGGAACAGAAAAAAAGTATTACTTATTCATCCCTATTTGGATACCAATGACTGAATAGATTCAAGGAAAAGCTACATCTTTAAGGAGTGTGGGTGAGAGAGAGAGAATGTTCTGTCAAAATTCTGAACGATAAAGTGGAGATGTAAAATCTCAACATGCAAGTTTCTAAAGTCATACCACAACAATGACCTTTCTTGGCAGGTAGATTTAAAAAAGGTTTTAAATACAATGGAGTTTAAACCAGAAAGAATTGGGATTCAACAAAGGTCTCAACTCTGAGGTAACTTTTTATCAGTGGATTGGTGTCAGATTAGATGGGACACATGACAATACAAGGTGGGGTATTGATGTGAAATGGATCACCATCAAACCTGAAAGTTCCTCCTCATGTGAAGGGGGGTATTTAAGACCACTTTCCTACAAGAAAATACAAATGTGCTGCAGCCTCCTATCAATGCAATGAGTAATTGGGTACACAAGATAAAAATGCCTAAATTTTATGATTCAGTAGCTAAAGGAAGACTTGTAGCCCACCACAAACGATTAGTGTACCATTGCACTTGTTTTAGTTAATAACAGAAAATTCAGAAACACACCACTACCATAAAACCCCATTTTATAGATATCCAGTAACCATAGTTTTCAAGGTGCCAAGGCGAGGCTAGGAGGCAGGGTGCACCTTGTCGCCTAGTTGCCTAGGCGATAAATCTTTTTAAGTAAAAAACATATATCCTAGGGTAGTTCCCTAAGTTCCATAACCATAATTTTCATATGAAAAGTATAAACATCATGTTAAAGTATAGAAAATCAACATATTCATGAGAAGAAAACAGAAAGAAAAGAAATTCAAAAAAATATTGGGGCTGAACCCCTATTTCTGTTATAGGGAAAGAAAAAAAGAAAAGGTGGAAGAAGAAGAAGAAGAAAATGTGTTGATTAGACAAAATTTTAAGTTCTTCTTTACTTATTGGTTCAGGTTTTGAAGCCTTTGAGGGTTCGATACAGCAATTAGTAATGTCTATGTTGATTAAACCCTAACAATAAGAAAATAATAAAAAGAAATTAGTATATAAACACACAGAATGAATATTTTAGTTTATAATGTCTATTTTATAATTATAATCTCAAAATTTTAAGAATATAAAAGTATTTTATAACACAATATACAAAACTGCTTGGCGATTAGGCGAGGCGAGCCTCCAAGGGCACCTTGTCACCTTGACAACTACTGCAGTAACATAACGTAGGAAAACAGGGACTGAAGATTGAACATTGAAGAACTCAATCTCATATCATTTGATTCTTATATTGCCTGCCTCCATAAAAGATATATCCTAAGATGCTCGTATCCGGATAGACCAAAAGGGGTTATAATTCTTTTTCTTCAGCACACAACACTCCATTTCTTGATATCAAGAACAAAAACATGGGTAAGAGTACAACACTAAATATGTAGAGGCTTTGCTTTTAAACCATCATATATCTATAGACTTATATCTTGCCAAATTTAATTAAACTTCTCAAATATATAATTTCTTCTAGTATGGAATCATTCATGTAGGGAGATTATCTACATGACACTACATATTTTTGACACACGGAGGGATCCTGTGACCAATCCTAACTGTCCATTAGATAGGGGACTTACTGTATTGGCCATGAATTGAATCTCACAATCCATTTCAGACCTACACCTAAACCTTATATTGGAAATTTTCCTAATTTATAAGATACCATACTCTATTTTGAACATGTCACAAGGCCTTTTGAGCTGAAAATTTCTCCATGAATTAGAGGGTTGGGAAAAGAATATGGAAACTCCCTTGTAGGTCCAACCTAAGTTGCCACATGGAATATTCCTAATTCATTTAGGAAAGCTCGCCAAATAACCCTATTAGAAAACCCATTCCTTAGTATAATATACCATTTACATATTTTAGAAGTTCTTTTTGCTATGACTATATTTTACAAGTCCCTTGCAGTACCAAATGTCAAAGTGTACATACTATGTCCAACATGGGTATGCTAATAATGTATTAGGTATCTGGGTATCATAAGATACATCCATGCAGTTTGCAGTAGAAACAAGAACGCAAACGATAATAAGTTTAATTATCAATGGAAAGGATACTGATTAGGAAAAAAGGAGCATAGATGATCCAATGACCACAAAGACAGAGAAACCAAGTACTATTGGCTCAACTGAGTAATCATATCCCTTCTTTGCTGAAGTTTTAGGAACAGCTCTTCACTTTGATGTTTTTTGGAACTTTGTGACTTTCCTATCTGCAAGGCATCTTGATGTAGTCTGTCAAAGTCCATTATCACATATAGACAACCATGAGCTTGATCAAAATCGATGCTATAGGTTATACAGTGTGCATAATGACTGGATAAATAAACTTTGCCTTTTAAGAGAATGCGTTTTGGTTACCATGAGTAAGATGTCTTTTGTATAACACTCAAACAGCAGCATAAACAGGCAATAATCCATGCCAATAACTAAAACAATGGAAATTTTTATCTCATAGCTTAGTTCATCATTAAGGATTTCTTATTGGACAAAAGTGTCAACAAGACAGCTTAGAAAATGGAAACCTACAGAAAGATATGCTTTGGGTACAGCTCAATTTTCTATCCTTTGCAAAAGTTTAGTGAGTTATAATGAGATTCTCATCAGATGTGAAATTTTTTCAATTGAAGTATATTATTCTATTTCCGTTTTCCTAAGATTTCCTAGATTTCCTGGTACAAACACATTGCATTGCCCTTGGGAAATTTGACAGAACAAATAATAGAAAGAAAAAATCATATCTTTCTAGCTTGGCCAACATTTTACAAAACGAATGGAGATAAACCAGAACAATAGGTACAGATTAAAGCTCATTGAAAATTTTTCCTCTTAACTCATGAAAGAATCTTGTACTGTCTAGCAACAGAAGAATGAACAATAATTTCCAACGTGGACCTCAGCAAAGCAATCAAAAAGTAAAAAGAAACAAAGGATGCTTCCAACAACCAGGAGAGAGACAAATAGATTCGGCATGGATGCCATCATTCATGTCAGTTCACCTAGTAAGTATCCAAAGGAGTAACCAACAAATCCAGAACTGGGTGTTCTGTCAAAACGAATGAAATCACAAGCAGAACATCAACCAAATTCATAATTAAAAAAGCATAGAACTAAAAATGCCGATGATAAAGCACAAAACTTTGATAAAGCATAAAGCCTTCTACACCCACAAGGTGAATATCAAGCAAATTAAGCTATAATAATTAACAATGTCTGAAAAAAGGCTTTATTTGGAATACCTGCCAAAAGAAAATCTTTTATTTAAATTCAACAACAAAAGACAGCGCATTCTAGCAGCGAGGATGAGATAAAGAATAAACACATTATAAGCCACATCAACATTACAAAACTCTCATGTTTAGAGGGCAAAGAAGTAAGACCAGCAAAATCAATCCATGATTCATCGGAGTAAAAAAAAAGGGCAATATAATGATCTATACAACAATAAGAGAAAAGATGCAATCCAATCTCCAGTCAATAAATAATTAGGGCTTTAAAACACCCCAGAAAAAAAAAGTTTACCGTCTTTTTCGTCGCAAACAACTAAGCCGAAAGGTCACGGAGGGAGGATAGATAAAAGGGAAGCCGAAAGTAATTCTAACTTTTAAAGGTCCGAAGGAAAACCAGAGTCCATATCACCGTCGATATCGACTCACTCATTGTATCAGCGCGCTCGCTGAATTTATCGGGAGATTCGAGCCTTCAAGGGACAAGGACACAAGGTGTTGATAGAATCGAACCAGACCGGCAAAAACCGAGTCAACAAATTTCAAGCGTGAATACGCTGAGAGAGTTGTAAGAATGTAAAATATCCACCGTATATCACCCATGTTTTCCACTTTATGATTTGCATTTGTTAGGAAAAGATCACCATGTACATAAGTGGGGTGGGGCTCACAAAATCAGATGGCCAATATAGCGTCAACCACTCGATTTGAACTCATTTACAGCCCTACAAGTGTTGGGGGAACAATTGGATGGAATGGTTGGAGTTGAATTCATGTTATCTCCCACTCCCAGTGTTGTAGAATACTAGAATGTAGACGAACCTTCCCCATTCAACGTTCATATCTGCTAAGACCATTGCTGATCTGTCCTTGTTTTATTGGTGCTGAGGAGGGCCCTGCGTTTCTTGTGCGTAGCAAATCCAGAATGTCAATAGGGCAGGAGGTAAACCAAAACCGGTAAAACTCGGAGACACGGAATTGAGGAAGGTCCCGTTTGGCGTGTATTTTCGTGCGGTCTTTCTGCTGCTTATAAGTCGGGAAGATCGAAAATTGGTCTATTTCCATTTGGCACGTGGAAGATCTTGCTGCCAAAAGATGGGGTGCCGAAAAAACGTAGGAAGCCCATTTTGGGCTGATTTCGCGAAGCTCCAAATGAAGCTTCTCACGTCTTCCGCGTTTTAATCTTGTGCAGAAAGACTCGAAATGACGCACAAAAAGATGCGTATTTGCCAAAAGGTCTTCGGGCTGCCCAGATCTTGTGTCAAAAGCTCAATGTGTCTATTGAGTGTTAGAGCTACGAAAAGATCTTCTAAAAAAGAGTTGACAATCGGGCCCGAAGAAAAGTGATCATCCTTCATTAAAATAATGAAGTATATATAAGCATTCATTACAAGAGGCTAACATGGCAAATACAAAGGAACAAGCAAAACAGATCCGTAACTGAATCTGTAACCAATTAACGGATGGTAACAAACTCGTTCCCGAGAGTGAACTTCATCGCAGCTGTAGCTTTATCGCAGGAGTAAGGTTGTCAACTTGGTATTCTCCTAATACCCCCCCCCCCTTCAAGTTGGAGCATGAGGGTTAAAAATGCTACAAATCTATCTCGGCCAACTGCTTTAGTAAAGATATCTGCAGGCTGAGCTAATGTAGGTAGATGAGCAGTAGTTATAGCTTTGGACCGAAGATGTTCTCGTGTGAAGTGGCAATCTATTTCAATATGTTTGGTGTGCTCATGGAATACCAGATTGACGGCGATGTGGAGTGTTGCCTTGTTGTCACAGTATAACTGCATCGGTTGTGGATGAGAGAGACCAAGATCAAAGAAAATTTGCTTCAGCCATAATAGTTCGCTGGTGGCGGCTGCCATTGTGCAGTTCTCTCTGCTTCAGTAAAGGAGCGGGCCACTGTTGCTTGCTTCTTGCTCTTCCATGACAAAGGAGATTGTCCTAGGGTTGTGAGATAACCGGTGACGGATTTCCGAGTGGTTGGGCAACCAGCCCAATCTGAGTCACAATAAGCTCGCAATTGGAGATTACAATCAGCCGGAAGAATTATACCTTGCTCAGGTGTAGCCTTCAGGTATCGAAGGATGTGTATCGCAGCATCCAAATGTTGTTGTCTAGGATCACTCATAAACTAACTTAGAATGTGAACCGAATAAGTGAGTTCTGATCTTGTAATGGTTAGATAGAGAAGACGACCCACAAGTCGTCTGTACTGATTGGGTTGAGTAATTGGTTCACCAGATTCATGTCCCAAATGATGTTGTTGTGCAATGGGAAGCATACTAGGTTTGCATCCTAGCATGCTTGCATCCTGAAGGATGTCAAGGGTATATTTCCTTTGATTGAGAAAAATGCCAGAAGAAGACTAAGAGATCTCAATGCCAATAAAATATCGAAGAACGCCAAGATCCTTGGTTGGAAAACACTACCGTAGGTAGTCCTTAAGAGCAGAAATGCAGGTTGGGTCATTTCCGACAATCACCAAGTCATCAACATATGCAAGTACCACTAGAATGCTTCCTGATTGTACTGAAGTAAAGAGAGTATTACCAGCAATGGATTGCTTGAAGCCCCGTTGGCGAAGAGCATGAGCTAGAGTTTAAAACCAATTGCGCGAGGCTTGCTTGAGGCCATAAATGGATCTGTTCAAGTGACAAATTTACTGATCCTTAAGAAGTCGGAGTCCTGGTGGAGGCACCATGTAGATTTTCTTCATGGAGAGTACCATGCAGGAATGCATTGTCTACGCCCATCTGATGTAGTTCTCAATTCCGGGCTATAGCCAGAGCTAAGAGGTAGCGTACAGTTACTAGCTTAGCAACTAGGGCATATGTCTCTGTATAATCAATGCCTTCAATTTGAGTATAGCCTTTTGCTACAAAGCGGGCTTTGTAATACTCAACAGTTCCATCAGACTTGTATTTGACTTTGTAGACCCAACGACACCCAATGGGAGCCTTTCCCAGTGGTAGGTCAGTTAAGGTCCAGGTATGGGTGCGATCAAGGGCATCTAGTTCAGTGGACAGCTTGTTTCCAACAGTCATGTTCGTTGGCTTCATCATAACAAAAAGGCTCAGGTTGTGTAGGGGGAATTAAACTCATAGTTAAAAAATTGGAGATTGGATGGTGGGTGTTGTATGAGTTAGTTTGTGACTAAAGTGTTAGGCAAATGTAGTCAGCCAGGTGTGGAGGTCCTTTGGATCGAAGTGGGTGATGGTTATGTGAGGTTGGAGGGCTAGGAACAGCAGGTTCAGAAGTTGACGAAGTGACTAAGTCCATGTCACTAGTGTGTTCGAGCAATTCTGAACTAATAGGGGGCTATGAGCTATCACAAACTGGTTCAGTTCTAGGAATCACTAATGAGTTCAGCTTTGATACCATGTAAAACTCGGAGACACAGAATTGACGAAGAAAAGTGATCATTCTTCATTAAAAGGGAAATTGTCAAAAACTCACCATGAGTTTTTCAACATTTCTCTTAGACTCACCACAACTTTTCAAAATGTCTAAAACTCACCATGTCACTAACTTGACATCAAAGAGACTAATGGTTGTTAATATATTACCATTTTAACCTTCATAGAAAAATATAAAACATATACATATATTTTAATATTTAGACATGAAAAAAAGGAAAAAGTTCAAAAAATATTTTCAAATATAAAATACATATAAAAATACAGAAATTACAAAAAACATAAAAAATTATAGAAATTGCACACAAAATAAAAAATTATTTTCAAATTATAAACTATAGAAATTGAAAAACAAAATCAGAAAATAAAAATTGTAGAAAAAACATAAAAAATTATAGAAATACACAGAAATTGCAAATAAATAACGAAAAAAAGTAAGAAATTTTATAGATGGTAGAAAATAAAAAAATGTAAAAAAATAGAAATTATAAAAAACATTAGAAATTATAAGAAAACACTAAAAATGTAAAAAAGAAAAAGAAAAATGAAGAATGAAAAAGACCATTTTCCTCTAACTCGCCATTCAATGGTGATTTGGTCATAAAAATTATTATTTATGCTGACGTGGACACATCTGTTAAGAAACATTAACGGTGCACTAATGGAATGTGAGTTTTAGAAAATAAAAACTTACTGACATGGTAAGTTTTAGACGTTTTGAAAAATTATGATAAATTTAAGAGATGCTAAAAAAAGAATTTTAGATAATTTCCTTCATTAAAATAATCAAGTATATACACAGGTAACAAACTCGCTCCCGAGAGTGAACTTCATCACAACTGTAACTTTATCGCAGGAGTAAGGTTCATAGCAAGTTGCGTCAACTTCGTATTCTCCTAATAAAACCCGAAGAAAGGACGTGTACATACAATGGATCCAATTCCCCACTTAGTGCAAGACAAAGAGACAGGTTGAGACGATGGGTCAAAAAGAGAACAAGTGACTCGCACTTCCAGGCGAGGTCTCATCGTTAATAAGCTTAATTTTGTAATATGTGGTAATCTTTCTGAGATGATGGCAACCATTATTTCATCTCCGGTGATGGCATCATTCTTCTTTAAATTGCCACGTTCCACGCAGCAGCTGAGGCTCTCAGTCAAAATGCTAATTGGGCTCAACCCATGCTCCACGTCGCACAACTAACGTAATAGCATTCACCGAAACAGAAGGAAATACCAATATCTCATTGCACATGTTAATTATTACAAAATCCATGATATCTGAACAGCGGAAATTTTAATTAAAAACTTAGTCAAGCCCATATTAGTTGGGTTGAGACTTGGGCTCGCCATGCAAGACCAGTTCGTGTTTGAAAGTAGCTATCTCAGCCCATATTATGTGGGACATATTGGGCTGTGTTTGGTTTGATAGAAAATGAAAGAGAAACACCATTTTGAGATTTTTCCTCAACTTTTTGTTTTTCTCTAATTTTCTATCAAACCAAACATAGCCTTAGTATTGACCACTGAATCAATGACCAAACTTGGATAAAAACTCTAATAACATGGAAACAGTGGTGGAGCCAGGGGGCCAAGAGATGAAGAAGATTTTCTTTCTTTCTTTTTTTCTTTGTTTTTTTTTGGGGTATTAGAAATGAGGGAGAATGGAGAATGAAAAATGGAGGCTGGGTGAAATTTTCTATAATATAGGAAGTAATTTCCTTCTAAAGTCCAATCAAAAGTTTGGTTTGAAGTTTTTCTTATGGTCAGGGTTAAAAAATATCCAGGAGTCCTAAACTCCCTTTGTATCCTAGTCCTTCTAATATTGTACTAATTATTTTTGTAAAGGATAACTCTTATCCTAGTAAGATAAGTCTTATCCTAAATAGGATTACATCCAATCCTATCCTAGATTAGATAGGAATCATCCTTGTATATCTCATCTTTGTAATCTATATAAATAAGAAGAAAGAGTCAAATAGATTAATTCGACCATTATTCAAAATCTCTCTCTCTCTCTCTCTCTCTCTCTTGTTCTATTATGGTATCAGAGTCATAAGCAATCAATTCAAGATTCTCATCATGTCTTCCACTATGTCCACCAATTCTAT